CACCATCTCTGGAAAGAGTATCTATTTTCAGCTGTGTCCACAGAGCAACCACAAATAGTGTAGATAAGGTCTCACATCCTGCCCTAACCTGGCATCAGTGGGGAAGGCAAAACAGTCCTTCCACTGGCACACTGATGCACTCTTGTTTGCTCTCTATTCGGACGGTGAAAGGAATACAGAGAGGGTTCAGATGGAAATCCCTCTGGATCCATCTCTGTGGATGGTTGAGTTCAAAGCCTAGTCCAGACTCTGTGAAGTCTCCCCTTTTAAAAGTGGCTTTGTTGAAATGAGGAACACCCAGCTCCCGTTCCTGCACAGCAGTTCTCTGCTGCCTCTTTAAACCTGCTGTACAATGCCAACTTTTCTTTAGAGGGAAAGAATGAAAGGAAAAAATCAAAGTGCTTTTCACTAGAACTGACCTGACATGCTGAGTACTAAGGCTGGCGCTGGATAGCTACGCCAGGTTATTTACAGCTCTGTGACTGGCAGGCATATGTGAAGTTGTCTCATATGGAGAATAGGCCTGTAAAACAGGTTTTGAATGAAGGATCCCCTTTCAAAATGAAGGATGCTGTCTGAAAGGGGGGCTCTAGTTCTGCTGATAAATCAAGCGGGCCAGAGGGTTTCATTTGCGAGTACAAGCTGCTATTGACAGTTCTCACTTTTCAACTGTGTGTGGTTATTACCCAGCCTCACAGACCTTTTCTTGGTTGTTTGTTGTACTGATTCTGGTGGGGGTGATACTTTTCCTTTAAATCTGTAGCAGGAAACTAATGCAAAGTGGATCTGGGGAAGGCATTAAAGGTTTGCTGGGTAAAATATGCAAATAGTGCTGGGTGGAAACGCAGAAAAAATGTCTCTGCCTTCCTGCCAAGTTGTCTGTGTCTGACCCCCCTGTGCCTTTCACTCCTGTCTGCTCGGCAGCACCCCAGGAAAAGGGGATGAGTGACTCTCACCCCAGGCTCCTGCAAAGTGGAAGATGCTGCTGTGCCCTCCCTCTGTCTCGCAGACAGGTAGCAGCCTTTCCACTGCTTGCCCAAATGCTCTAACCAGTAGGTGTCTGTATTCTGGCTTGTTTGCATTCCTCTTCTCTTAAACTATACTGTCTCTGTCTGCGTTGTGGAGCAAGCAAAGTTGCCTAATTCTACAGAAGGATCTTAAGCTATTCCTTGTTTTCCCAACGCTGAAGTACAGCACCTCTCTTCCCTACAGGCTTATTGCAAAGATAGACTCACGAGGGAGGCTGTAATCTGCATTAATTCTGCAATACGAAAGTAATGGATGTACCTATACCAAGCCTATCGCACCTTATTATGTGACAATTCTGTGCCACCAAATTGCTGAGCGCCCATATTCACAGTAAAGCTACCCCAGAGCTGCTTCGATGCCAAGCTGTGAAAACGGGGCAGGGATGAGGTTGATCTGGTGTGGGTTTTCTGCTTGTTCTTTCCACAAAGGCCAGCAGCACCACTTTGCCACTCTTCCAATTTGTGGTCATATGCCAGCTCGGCTCATTTGCAAGACTTGAAAAGAACGGTTGGTGCACACAAGAGACTTGGAAATGTTCATTCCTCTTTGTGGTTCTTGCTAAGGCTCCACCAATGGTGAATAAATCCAGGCTAGGGAATAAACATTTGTAAGCAACAGCTATCCTGCTAATTGTTTTTGTCTGAGTGAATACTCGCTCAAGTTACAACACGAGCAAAACTTGTTGTCAGGAGAAACTTGCACTTGTGTATGATTCATATTGATAAAGCCCCAAATCCTTTAGGCTTAGCAGAAGCAGCACAGGACAGTACAGGAACTAAAGCACAGAGCTAACAAGAATGGCACAAGAACCCTCAGAAATCTCAAAGTCTTCTCTGCCCAGCTATGGTTGCCTTTTAAACAGCAAAGTGTTCTAGGTCCATCACACCCCAGGAAGAAGTCTCTGGACAGCTCTGGTACCCCAGAGAGCAACTGTAAACCTCTTTTCAGTAGAAATTACTAGGAGGAATGGGACAACCTGGCAGACACTAGACGCAGCTTTGTGAGAGTTAGTTAGGCATACGCTATGTTCACAGCTGACATCAAAACCACCAGAACAAGCAGTTATGAAACAAACAGCAGGCTAGCAAGCCCTCAGGAATTTCTTTTACGAAAGCCTGGCTGAGGCATGGAAGAAATCTTGTCTGGTTTCAGCAAGGCTGCGAGTTGGAGATGACGTTGCAAGAAAAGACCAAAGATTTGCACCAGAAGACAGAGATAAATTCTAGATAAGATGCTCTCTCAGCCTTATGAGAGAAATATTCCTAGCACCACAGAGTTAAACTGTTCTTCCAAGTTACATGTAACTCAATTTTCAACAGGGGGTATTTGTATTTGTCCATTCACCACATCAGAGCGCTGGCTTGGGTTGTATTTAAGTCTGGTATTTAGCAGATCTTAGAGCCTTTCCAGTCCCACGGTCTATGTGACTCTAGGCAAATGGTTTTACATTACCGTTTCATGGGTCTCCTTTCTGTAATCTCTCCTGTCTGCTTAGAGCAGAAGGTCTTTAGGCTAGGACATGCTCTTACATGGGGATGTACAGCACTGAGCATGGTGAGACCCTCATCTTTACTACAGCTAGTGGAATAATCGTACATCCACCCAGAAAGCAAACGGCACGAGTGAGACGTTAAGCAAAGGTGGGAGACTTTTCAGTAGTGAGCACTGTTCCACATGCCAGCCTCATCTCCTTAGATGTCCATCCCCTAAACCTATTGTAGTAACACTTCAGAGGAAATTACAATGTTTTATGTTTGCACCAGGGTTTTTTTTCTTCATCTAAGCTTCAAAAGAATCTACCCATAGGTGTGGCTGGACGCTATTATAACCATATCAGAAAAGAAAAACAAAACAACATAATCTCACTCGAAGTAGCTGAGGTGGCAATTTTCAATAGTAACCTAGCAGCCACTAATAACTTGAGCAGCCGCTGATCTGACTGCCTGTATTCTGCAGGTCCTGCACTTCAGCAATGCCCCACCTTTCTGGCTGTGGGTAACACTACACAAACACTGTCAGAACTCGAGACAGTTTTTTTGAGGACTTGACATGTAGGGCTTTGATTCAACTTGTGCTGAAAGTCAGTGGTGCAACCAGGGGTGGAAACCAGGCTCTCCACCCGCCTCAATCCAGTCTCAAACCAGCCATTAGGAGTACACCAGTCCCACTGCAGCAGAACCCAGGTAACACCAGTTCTCCATTAAATGCTTCCCATCGACCACCCCTGCATCCCAGCATTACATTGCAGACACGCTTATAGGAGAGACTGTAAGCTGGAGAGCAAAAGCTGTGTAATTATTGAGGTCCACTGGAAAGACTAGGAATGTGCAGTAGGAAGAGCCATACCTCTTTTCCCGCCTTCTCGATCTCCACTGTCACTGTGCTGTGGTTCTTGTGCTCCTGGAACATGCAGAGGTAGCAGATGCACATCTGGTCTGTCTGACAGAACAGCTCCATGGTCTTCCCATGCACAGGGCATTTTCTTGCTTCAAAGTCCCTGATGGGGTCCAGCAGTTGGTGGTCCCGGAAAGCTGCTCCCTCCAGATGGGGCTTGAGGTGCAGCTCACAGAAGGAAGCCTGGCACACCAAGCAGGACTTCACGGCCTTTTGCTTGTTGTCGATGCAGGAATCGCACAGAACATCCTCGAGCTTCACCCTGGGCCGTGACCCAGCTGCTCTGTCGGGCTTGTTGAAGGTGGATCTTCTCAGGTCCCCTGTCTCCACCAGAGGGAGGGAAGTTTTCTTCAGGTCCCCCATCTGCCCCCCAGAGAACAACGACTTCCTCCCTTCCCCTTCACTAGGCAGGAAGCTCTTTTTGGAATCCAAGGAGAAGAGGGACTTCCTGAGATCGCCTTTGTCTGCAAAGGAGAGGGCTGGTCTCCTCATGTCTCCTATCTGTCCACTGGCATACTGCATCTTCTTTGGATCTGCCGAATCCATGCTGAAGTAGGTCGATCTCTTCTCATCGGACGACTCCACAAACTGAATGATGGGCCTCTTCCAGTCACTCCCAGAGAAGAGTGAGCTCTTGATTTGCCCAGCCTCCAGAGCAGCACTGCCAGTGCCTTTCATAGGTTCCTTCTCACCTCCACCGGGGCTTGTAGTCTTCTTCGCTTCTTCTTCCTTTTTGGGGGCAGACGGACTCTTCACATCTTCTGGTTTCCCAGTGGTACCATTTGTCCTTGCTGCACTCCCCGTTTCCATTGTCTGAACAGGGCACGTTGTCTTCGCTGCTCAGTCTTTCCCCCCGTTCCTGTCTCTCAGCCCTCTACAAAGCTGGTCTGTCTGCCCGGTCGTTGTCTCAGCAAGGAATGACGGTGGAAGGCAGGGAAGTTTCTGCCCAAGTGACGCACCTGGAGCTCCTGCGAGGAGGAGGAGAACGCCTGGATTAAGCTAGGTAGACACAGGGAGAAAGAAAGAAGCAGACGTTACCAGGGATCAGAAGCTACAGCTGTGCAGTTAATTATACAAGGCAGTCCACACCCAGGAACATTCTTGTCTAACCAGGTTTGGGAGGAAGGGCTGTTTATATACATAGAAATGTGTTTTTTTAAAAAACCATTTTCATTAAGATGTAGCAACCAGTTCAACCGCTTGTTTCAAAAATAATTTTGCTCGTTGTTGCCAGGAGCTGAGGTTACCTCCTTGCAGAGATGGGCAGGGTCGGGGAGACCATGAGATGCCGAAGATGGGTTTGTTAACTGGGTCATACACATGCACAAAAATAATTATGGTCGTAATTAAAATGAACGCCTAGAATAAAGCATTCTTAAACTGGGTTCCCCTGAGGCCTTACTGTATTCAGTAGGACAGGGAGGGGAAACGTATGGATAATACTGGGTTTAAAAGACCCTATTATCTTGATTTTGATGTTCGGTTTGTGCAAGGTCCTTCTACCTAGACCTGGAAATAGCCCGACCATGTATCAGAACACAGCTGACCTGAAGTAAAAGTTGGCCAGTCTTGTTTTCGCCACAGAGCCATGCCATCTCCACTGATGTGATCAGTGGAATAAACCCCTCATTGCCTATTTCATTGCAGGTTGTCACTGAGCTAAGGGTTCGGGTGTACCTGATGTAGTTCTTCCCATGACTGTCCACTGAACTGAGAAACACACCTGTAACAGGAAATATTTTACAGCCAGATAGCCAAAATGTTTCTTGCAAGAAAAAAGAACTTAGAGTTTTAAAAAGAGATCTGTCTCCACTGGTTGTATTCCTGTGAAATGGTCAACTTGTAGAAATCACAAAAGATTTCAGACGAAAAGGGCTTTTTATAAGCACTGGTGAATTCCATCAGCTTCCACTCATATCATATCAATTTAACATAGATTATACTGTGAATTTCAGTAAGATTGCTCTGAGATTAGCGTCCAGGGTGCAAATTAACCATGCCTAAGATTAGTGCTTTATTTAATTTTCACAGAATGCAATGATGGTGTTGCTGGAGAATGTGATTTTTAGCCTGTAATATTTTTTCATTAGGAAACCATAACAAAACCCCTGTTGGAAGTATCTCAAGTAATGGAGGAAAAATCCAGGTCTGCATTTCGCAGCTCTTTTTTAGGTGTGGAGGAAATAGAGGTGCAGCCCAAAATATACATTTGGGATCTGATATGAGAAGGAGATAGCAAGGAAGTGCCTGTCTTACAGATATGGTTTCTAAGTGCTTTGACTGTGCAGAATGAGAGAAAAGGAAAGAGAATTTTTTTTTACCTCTTCAATTGAAATGCAGTTGGGACCCCTGGCTCATGGATCCAACCCCTCTTAAAGCCTGTATGTCATCATGGCTCTCTATATATGAGAAATGATTCAGTATACAATATTTTTTGAAAACAGTTGTTGGGAAAGGCCGCACCTTTTGCAGTAATTTCTAATGGACAGTTTTTTATTAATAGGACCACAGTCTTTCGTGAGTCAGAAGTCATTCTCTGGCATAGGAAAGAGCAATGCTATTTTTTAAAAACTAATTTCATAAAAGAAAGCTTGGCTGACATATGTGTATTTCTTTCCTCTTGGCTTCCTGGGTTGAGCTGATCTTTATAACATCAACAGTCCTATAGATCTCCAAGTAATTAAAAATACTGGAGGGTGGAGGTGCCTGTTCTCACGTGTACAGAAAAGACTCAGCAGAGCTTTTCCAAGTTAGCATTAATACTTCAGAAACAAAAAACATCTATACAAAGAGGTCTAACTTGGTAGAAGGTGGCCTTGGTTTCTCTTGTCTTCCTGACACTTTGTTAAGATTTTGGAGTAGGTAACGCTGTCAAAAGATTAAGGGCTGAATGTTTTCACCTTGGTTTGGCTGATGCAAGTCCAGAATAAATGAGTTTATTCCAGTTATTCCATGCAGAGCTGGGAGTAACTGAGCTCAGGAGGAGGTTTATTATTGATTTTTCTGTCCATGCAGAGGCACACACAAGACTGGCGCCCTCTGGTAAGTCAGGCCATGGCTTTAGCTCCTCCATTTGTTGCAGTACTGATGAATTATGGCCATACCCGAGATGTAAGACAATGTAATGTCGATCATCTAATGCTGCTCCAGTCATACTCAGGTGGGCTGTTGTCAGCCTTCATGACAGTCAGTATGTTTTGTAAAGCTGCAGGTTTTGCTTTGGCTTTTGAATAGCTTGGGTGGCATCTGCCCTTGCTGCTTAATTGGTGAGAATCTTCAGCTTAAATTCTCTGTGTCAGGCAGAAAGAAGTAATGGAGCCAAGCACAAACTGGATTTCTTGAAGCAGAATCTGTTTGCCAGTAGTCTGGGCTGAACATCCCTTGGGTGTGCAGGGAGAAAGGAAGGATGGATGTCACTCACGCGTGTAAAGGACATTCCCCACTGCTGCCAGTCACTTCTGTGCAATGCCACTTTCACTGGTCCCCTTTCAACCTCAGCTCACTGGCAGCATCCCACACACCTGGCATTAGTGCCCAGGGCACGTCCTGCTTCTAAATACCTGTGAAGCCATGGCAGGCCCACATGTGGCCAGCAAGAGCCAAATGCATCGCCACTGCTGCCACATGTCCTGGGACTGCGCCTTTGCTCTATAGCCAAAGGCCAAGCCCACTCTTCCCCATCATCTGTCTGCACCTCATCTCACTTCATCATGTCTTTTTCTTGCCAAAAAAATCGTCTGCAGATGGGGCCCACCTCTCTCTTGTTATTTTTGGCCTCTACTGTTCACACCTGTCTGAAGCTTGAGGTGCGCGTTGGTGCTCATAAGCAGCGCCAGTGCTGGCTGATTCTGCCTAGGAATCACAGGAGGACTGCTGGAGTTAAAGGGCACTTTGTTAGTTAAAGAGTAGTTTGTTAGACAATTTGGGCTTCAACTCCCAACCGTATTTAGAAGACTTGTGTGAACACATGTATTTTTCAGGCAATTTAGAAGCCAAAGTACAGACTGGACTTCTCTTTATTGCAGGCTTTATCTTGGCACCTCTCAGAGGGTGGCTCCTGATTTCTATAGCATGAGTTCACGCTTGTGTAAGCATCATCTGTGATTTTTGCACCAACCATCCCTAAATTTCCTGCAGAGGACAACTGTCTCCTATCTAGTGCCGTGCGTCAAGCCGATCACACAATATGCCCATGTCTGTGCCTCTGACTCAGAGTATACACCCACGTTTGGCATCTGCAATGCCTTTCATCTGAAAACTCGGAGCGTTTTTCAAAGGTTCGCAAATTAAACTTGACAACACCTTTCCAAAATAGGTCTGGGTTGCTAACCCAATGTAGCAATTAGGGAAACTGAGGCAGGTACTGTGGAACTGACTGACATTTTTCGGAAAAAATGAAACTTTTTCCCTGAAATTGCTATGCAGCCTTTTTGTTTGCTCATTCTCATTATTGTGACCCCTCTAAATCTTTATATATTCCATCTTATATATTTCTTCTTATGTATAACTTGTATATCCATTTTATATATTCCGTGATGCTTTTGTTCTTGTTTTGAACTTCGTTTTTTTCATTGTATGTACACCAGTAAGCTTGGGTAGTTTATTGCTTGTACTAAAGTGTTTTCCACTGTGCAACGTGCTTTACAGAAATCTTTATGGGTAAGTACCTATAAAAAATTAAATTCCCTGGGATGGAAAAAGTGAAGAAATTGGGTCCATTTCAAACTAACTAGAGTAGAAACAGTTAAGCTAAGCCTGGGGCACTCCTTTAGACAGGCTCCAGAGCAGCGTTTCAAACACCGATGACTGATGAAGTCATGGAGAGTCACAGAGAATTAGATCAACCAGCCCATGATTCACTGACCCCAGTTCTCACAACAACTCCAACCAAACTAGGAGCGGGGAACCTGTCTGCTAATTGCCTACTCTGCGCTCTACCCACTAATCCACACTCCCTTTCACATCCTACGTATTTTCAGTCCTTTCTCATTTCTTGCACCTTTATACAAAACAAGCCCACAGCTCAGAAGATGTTATGCTGAAATGCATGCAGGCTATTCCTGCTACAAGAAAGCACAGGAAATCAATCCGTCAAGCATGTAGACACCATTGAGCAATGGCCATGCATTAACCAGCTCCCAGTGTAGCAGCAGAGCAGGCAGAACGAGTTCAAGGCTTCGTGCTGCTTTCACGCCTATCAGATCCAGTCAGCAGTGCATCCAGACAGATCAGGAGAGCTATCTCTGTACAGAGCGCATGGGGGAAAACAACAGTGCTGCAGGTGTGCTTAAAGCAGATCTACAGGTACTCTCAGAGATGTGATTTGTACCAGAAAGACTCAATTTACATGGCACAAACTTAATTTCAGCTATTTGTGACAATTTGGGCTCACCGCCTCCATGTCATAATCAGCTGTGTGTCTCAGAGTAGGTGATGAAGGGAAGGAAAACTGAACCAAGGGGATCCGGTTATCTGGGGGATGCGTTTCCACATTAGGGGTATGCTGAATTGAGAGCTCAGTGAAGATGGCCAGGACCTGCCTTCAGATACGAGGACTCAGACTTTTAGGGTAGTGTGAGCATCTGCATAGCTCCTCTAGGGTACCATGGCAGGCCAAACACAAGCTTCCCAGGGCTTAAATCAGGCCTGCAGGCTATGAGCTGGACCATGGGGAATCTTAATTATTGGAACAAGTTACAGGCAGGACATAAATGTCTGTTGTGTAACAACGATACTGGGTGAGCATGCAGGAGGAGGGTGATTCACTGAAGGAGAGGGTGTGTAATGGGACAAGGGCAGTAACTGGAGGA